ATTTATTTAAATGGAAAAGTTGTTTCTTTATTTTGTTAATTTGTAACTTTATACATGTTAAAGTTAGCTATGTAACATATGCAAAAAGGTTACATATGAGTTTAATTTTGTGTAATAAGTTACATATTTGGACAACTATATATAGCTGTGATTTTCTTCGTTTAGAAAAATCAAAGCATACCACAATTGGGTATTATCCTCCTCCCACAAGAATTCTCTCTTCTTTTGAGTTGTTCTACTTGTTTATGTTGAGAGCAAGTATCTAAGAGTTCTGCCAGATCCGAGTAGTTCGAGGTTGCAGTTCTACCGGAGTTAGTCGTTGTATCCTGCTGAGACGATCGCTGTAGTTTGCTAGCAACTTGTGTAGAGCGAATAATTGTCTTCAGGTGAGCGCTATTGAAGTGTGCCTCGACTATTTTTATCAAATTTTGGTGTTCATCAAGTTGTTCAAATTTATTCGTTTGTAGTCAGTTACGTTGTAATCTGTTTGTCAGTATTATACAGTTCATATATATAGAGTATATTTACCCAACAGTCTTTGTGTTCTTTATTTTCATTACACCACCCCACGTAATTTGGTGGAGAGATGATATATATATATGTATAACGTTATTGGATAAAATATGGGAGACAAATTAGGTGTATATAAAGAAAAAAAAAATCTTTAGTCTATTTTAATCTTAATGTTTAAGACTTAACATATTGGGATTGTGACATTTTTCAGGCTAAAGAGGGCGATAAGTGATCCTTGTAGAGAAAATGCATGGATAAATCATAAAAGGGTAACTTTAGGCAAATGAATATACGAAAAATTAATGCCACCAACATAATATTAATTATAAGCTGACTTGTTCCTAACTCAACTTATTTAGTTACGACCAAAATTTTGTAAATTCGAATACCTACCCCACTTATTGTACTAAAAATTTATGTTAATAATAAGAACTTTTAAAATGGTAAAGTAATTATAATATTTTTTATGATTTTTTTTTAATTTCTACGATTCTTCTAAAAAAAACTATCAACATAACATTTTATCGATGTTTCCATCAATATTAAAATTTTGAAACCTTTATTTTTTTTTTTTTTTGGAATTTTAATGAATTGTTGCTTTAGTCATTACCTATTATTAAAATAAAAAGGAATATTATAAAAGTCAAATTAAGATGCCTAAAAATATATAGGCTAAATTATAAAAATACTTTGAACTTTACCGTTTGTTTCACAAATACTTCTATCCTTTTACAAGTTTAAATAGTATCATTGATCTTTGGTAAAAGTTTCAAAAATACCATTTAAATAAATATTTGTTAATATTTAGAACGGAAATTTAACGTGATGGAATTTGGAGCCACATGACAACCATTATCTACTCAATTTAACTCTAATATCCCTTTTAAAAAGGATAGTTTCTTCCACAATTTGTTTACAAACTTAATACTGGCAAGCTTTTATGTTAATTGTCATATTGTTTCACATTCTTCTCCGTCAACTTTTTGTTCAAAATATTAATATACTTTCGCTCTAAAAATAATTTTTAAATATTTATGAAAAGTCAAAAGTAATATTGAACATTTTTAAAGAATATAAATATTTTGAAAATAGCAAAGTTTAGGGGTACTTTTCAAAATATGTGTAAACCTTTTGTTTCCCCAAGGTCAAACATAGTCTCGGAGAATCTCACTTTTGTACTAACTTAGAAGAATGGTAAAAATTTCATCTTTTTTCTCAAGGTTGATCACCGAAATGACCAAACGGCGAACCTTGGCTCGGACTAAAGACTAACTCGATAGACGAGTTAGGACTAGTCGGACTGGAGACCTACAAAGCAAAGAACACTCTAACGCCCAAGTCAAGAAGAATCCAAGCTGTATTGAGAGAAAATACAGTATTTGTGTACCTAAAATGAAGGCGAGTGGCTCCCATTTATAAGCGAGGTTTCTGACAATATCCCTAACAAGATATCAATGGCTCTTTAAAATAAGTATGAATCACGACATACTATCGTGAAGTCTGTCAGAATGGAAGACTGAGCCGAATGCTTCCAAATCAGTTCGACTATAAAAGGAAAACCAGTGTTAAAAAGGGAAATCGATCGGCTCAACCACATGGGGCATCGGCTCGTCAGCTCGGCATTTGTCCCAATATCGAAATGACGGATCTGGGCCTAATTAATTCAAATCTACGTATGATTCTATCTTCCCATTAGAACGTGCCACGTTTATCGTTGAAAACCACCTCTTTGAACACCCAAGAAAACGAGAAAATGGTGCAGAAAAAATTGTTGGGTTTTTGGATATGCTGAGTTCTTGAAATGTGTGTGTGAAAATGTAGAGACAAACATCAATCTGGTGAGCCCACCCTGAGATTAATGCCCTATTTTGACAACTATTTCTTTTATAAATATTTTGATATCTGTTAATTCTTCCTTTTGTCCAACCGAGCATAATTCTACGGTAATTGACATATGATTCCAATCTTGAGGTTGTAAGTTCGAATCCTCTCCTCAATATATCGTACTAAAAAAAATTCTTTCTTCCAATTTTTAATTTTTATTTTGTAGAAACAACAAAGTTACTTCTGACAACCACACATTTGTCACCAATGATTTCATCAGCAATAACCAAGATTTTTTTGAAGTGTATATCAATGAAAATATCCCTGAAATGTTGATGTCTTTTGAATATTTTTGAAAAACTTATAAAAATAAAAAAAGTTCAAAACATATATTTAAATTAATAAATTAGTCTTTCACTATTTTTAAATAAATTAAAAAAGGAGTAATATTAAAATTATGTTCATATTAACCCTATTTTGTTGATAATTTTTTTTATTTTGTTGATTTTTTCAGATATTATAAAAATGTCGATTTCGACGGAAAATCGCTCTCCAAAACTAATTTCGAAAGCAAAAATAGAAATATATTTCAAAATAATTTTCCAAATACCTCAATAGTCAATAAACCTGAGCCCAATAGTTTCTTCATTTTTTTCTTTTTCTTTCTTTTTTTGCTGATTCTCAGTTAAAAAAAAAAAAACTGGCAATTATTAATAAACAATTAAACTAGAATAAATAAATGTGTGAAAGATGGACCCAACACAGAGGAAATATGTCAATAAGAGAGAAGAAGAAAAAGTGAACATGTCGACCACAAGCGTGTAAGAAAGACTAATCCACTGAATTGCTTGCGTAACGAACATTACTATCAAATATGGTATTAATTATTAATATCGTAATAGACATTTTCATTTGAAATTTTTATGTATCTATAAGTTTGGTAAACATTTTTATTATATTACAAAAAATAATAAACAAAATATAAAAAAATATTAATAAAGTGTCACTAAATTTATTTAAAAATAGAAAAAAAGTATATTGGTTAATTCAAATACTTTTAACCATTTTCTAAATTTATCTAATTTTTACAATTTCTAAAGAGATTCGATTCGGAACAACATTTTATTGATATTTTCATCAATATTTTCATGAAATTGAGATTCGACATTTTCATTGATATCAAACATTTAAAGTCTTTGCTATCAATTGTGTTTTCGATTTATAATTTTTTATTAAACAACATTTTATCAACATTTCGGTAAATTTTTTCTCAACCTTTTTTTTCAATAAAAAAATGGGGCTTATAAGATCTGAGTGGTTACTCTTCAAATGAAGTCTAATTCCAATTTCAACCTTGAGGGAGCATGGTTCAAATTGAAAATTTAAACTTATGGTTATAAGAATATTTACAAAAGGGAACGGTGTTTTAGATTTTTTCCTAATTTATATGTTGAAGTCACAGTTATTAGAAATATATGTCAATTACCACGTTAATATCAACTTAGAATTAAATTTACGTGGACTACCTTAATCTTAAAGCACCGTGTTAGGTTTATTACTAAATATGCCACGTATGTTTTTTTGGTAAGTAAGCCAACGAGTTTTTGAAAGAGTGGTCTAAAATGGGAAGTCTACGTGTACTCTTGTCACTTTTTGCACATGTTGACATTATTGACCCTCCTCTTTCTAATTAACACCTCTAATATCCCTTTGAAAAAAGAAAGTGCTTCTTAAATCTCTAGTTATATAAGCTTCAAAAAGAAAAAAATCTAGCTATAAACAAAATTGGCTACAATTATGTGATTCAATAAATAGAAAATACTAAAGAGACAAATAGTTAATAAAATAAAAATTTTGACATTAATAAAGATTTTTAAAAAGTTCAATGTGATACTTTAGCGTTTAGATGTAAGGTAAAATAATAAAATATAACAAATATCAAGAAAAGTAACATTAATATCAATATAAATATTAATAATAAAGATTTATATTTTGAAATACAAAATATTTATTTATTAATCCAAACCATTTATATGATTCTAAGATTTTGATAATTCTTTAAATCTATCCATCGACATACTTTATAAAAATATTTATTTATCCATCTCTGTAAAACTGAAAATTCCGACATTTTCGCCAACATTTATATTTAATTAATTATTTGACAAGATGGTTTATTTATTATTGTTATTTTCGAGAGAAAAATAATTCCTTCTTCCAAGAAAGAGGCAAAAGTGCAATTATCAAAATAGAAATGCAATTTTGCAACCTTCAAGCGGTCCAAGAAAGCACAATACTTCCCACTTTTCCCATATTACCCTCGCTAACCTCCACTACTAAAATCCATATACTAAAAAAACTAATATCATTGTTGATTTTAGTATGGAAATTTCAAAATTTACGAAAATTTCACACGCTTGTTGGAGTAAAAAAGATTATAAAAATTATTTTAGCTAATACAAGATTCTTTGTTGTTCATAAATAAATTATAACTTTCATTAATAAAATTATTTTTTAATACAAAAAAAGAGATATCAAGAATATATTGATATGTTGGAAAATTTTAATCTTTACAAAACTCCAATGAAGGGTATTTTCGTCAACGTGGAAACAGTGGAAATTCCGTACCGGCGATTTATAAATTCACTCGACAATTAAATCGGGCTTCGTAATCGTATCTCAAAATTATTTAATTCCCCTTCACTCTCTCTCTGTACACTACATTTTCCGACCGGCCCACCGGGAAATCTCAGCTCCGATGGGGGATTCCGCCGGAGATCTTCAGAATGACCTCAAATTTCACGGTCCGATCGACGGAAACGTCCTCGCCGCCATGGCGCTCGCCCGCTGCGGCGTCGACCGGATGTTCGGCGTCGTCGGCATCCCCGTTACCTCTCTGGCCACTCGCGCCGTCTCGCTCGGGATCCGATTCATCGCTTTCCACAACGAACAGTCGGCTGGCTATGCCGCTTCTGCTTATGGCTATCTAACGGGTCGCCCTGGTGTGCTTCTCACTGTCTCTGGCCCCGGATGTGTCCATGGCCTCGCGGGGGTTTCCAACGCCATGGCTAATGCTTGGCCCATGGTCATGATCTCTGGCTCCTGTGATCAGAGAGATTTCGGCCGTGGTGATTTTCAGGAGCTTGATCAAATCGAAGCTGTGAAACCCTTTTCGAAATTCTCCGTCAAGGCCAAGGACATCTCCGAGATTCCGAATTGCGTCGCCCAGGTTCTTAGTTCCGCCGCTTCAGGCCGGCCCGGCGGGTGCTACTTTGATCTTCCGTCGGATGTTCTGCACCAGACAGTTTCCGAGTCTGAAGCCGAGAGATTATTGACCGAAGCGGAGAAATCTGCTCGCCGCGAGGAGATTCACAGAGTTCCTAATTCGCAGATTCAGGAAGCAATTTCGTTGCTGAAAAACGCGGAGAGGCCATTGATCGTGTTCGGTAAAGGAGCGGCGATTGCGCGGGCTGAGGGGCCGCTGAAGAAGCTCGTGGAGAGCACTGGAATCCCATTTCTCCCGACTCCAATGGGGAAAGGCTTGCTGTCCGATACGCACGAGCTCGCGGCCACTGCCGCGAGGTCCTTAGCCATTGGAAAGTGCGATGTTGCGCTTGTGGTTGGGGCGAGGCTTAATTGGCTGTTGCACTTTGGGGAGCCGCCTAAATGGTCCAAGGACGTGAAGTTCATTTTGGTTGATATTTCCGAGGAAGAGGTTGAGTTAAGAAAGCCCCGTTTGGGTTTGATCGGAGATGCCAAACAGGTCTTGGAATCCATAAACAAGGAGATTAAGGATGACCCATTTTCTCTTGGGAAGTCTCACCCATGGGTGGAAGCCATTTCGCAGAAGGCAAAAGAAAATGTGTCGAAAATGGAAGTTCAGTTGGCGAGGGATGTTGTGCCATTCAATTTCTTGACGCCAATGAGAATCATTAGAGATGCCATTTCGGCTCAGGGTAGCCCTGCTCCCATATTGGTTTCTGAAGGGGCCAATACAATGGATGTTGGTCGCTCAGTTTTGGTTCAGACTGAGCCAAGGACCAGGTTGGATGCAGGAACGTGGGGGACAATGGGGGTTGGCTTGGGCTATTGCATTGCTGCTGCAGTTGCTTCGCCCGATCGATTGGTAGTTGCCGTGGAAGGCGATTCTGGATTCGGGTTTAGCGCCATGGAAGTTGAGGTATCCATTTCTCCCTTTTCTTTTATCCTTCACCATTACGTATACTCACAATTGATTAGAATGTTGTATGATCAATGTCTTCGTCTGTCTGTACTAATTCCAATTGAAGACTGTTCTGTATATTAAAAGCATTGTTTGGTTGCCTCAAAATGTTGCCTCAAGTCAATCATCATGGTTAGAGTTACTTCTTGGTTTGCAAATGTCTGTTTGTCCATTAGAAACATGGTAAAGGATTGGTTAGTATGTTTTATTTGAGGTCAAAAGACATGTGTTGGTCTCTGGTAATCAGTGGTTTTTAGAATTATTCTAGGACATGTTTCATAGCCTCTCTTGAAAGGAGTTACCTCCTTGTTATGGCGGTTGGGTTTTAGATGACATTCTATTTTCTTTTTAGGTTCTGTTTGTTGTTTGTCTCACAGTGAAGCATTAGATTTCCCATGTTTTTCTGCACTTATATTAGGTAGGCCCTTGTATTTTTACTATTTTACTCGTTTTATCACCATAGAGTATTCGGACTCAACTAGTCTCACAAAATAACTACCTTACTACAATATTGACATCGAGATAATATCTTAGGTCTTAGGTCAGTGGCTACCATAGTTGACGTATAAATATTTATTAATTCACTTGTTAATAGGGCCAGTCTTGTTAATAGGGCATCAATGGATCTGACGAACAAAATTATGTACAGATCACCATCTTTTAAATCTGAAATTTAGATTTTGCTCCCAATCTGGCTGATGATTTTTTTAACCTATGTTGAAGTTCTAGATGTTGTTTCTGTATCTGATTTTTGTCTGTAGAGCTGTACATCTTACTTTGGTTTTGGGCTTCATTGTTGTAGAATTAGATTATTCCTTGTGTTCTTTCTGAAGAGCTCCTTATAATCTTTGGAGTTCATATATTAAGTTCCAAAACATATTTGCAATTGAGATTTCAGTAACAAACAGATGGTTTCATTTTCATTTCCTCTTTACAAATTTCTAATCTTGCTCATGCTTTTTTTTGAACTTAAACAGACGCTGGTTCGATACCAGTTGCCAGTAGTTGTGATAGTTTTCAACAATGGCGGTGTATATGGCGGTGACCGGAGAACGCCACAAGAAATCACCGGACCCTATAAGCATGACCCTGCGCCCACCTCATTCGTCCCATCAGCAAATTACCACAAAATGATCGAGGCTTTCGGAGGAAAAGGATACTATGTCGAAACACCCGAAGAACTAAAATCCGCACTAGCTGAGTCCTTTTCTGCTCGAAAACCAGCAGTCGTAAACGTCAAGATCGATCCTTTTGCCGGTGCGGAAAGTGGGAGGCTGCAACATAAGAACTGAAGATAAGTCTTTGAACTCCTTTGTTGTTTGTTCTTCACCTGAGAGACTCATTTCTGCCAATCAATTAGGTTTGCAGCAGAGTTTCAAGCAAAGCTTAGGATTTTTTTTTTTCCACAATATTATGTGAAATTATGAACTTGAATAAAGTTATATGTAACTTGTAAAGCCAGCAGTTGGAGATGTATAATTTGATGAATGATAAAATAGACCTGTCTCTGTTGACATAAGTTTCTAATAGGAGGTACGGGTTATTAATTTTTGGGTTAAATTACAAGTTTAGTGTTTGAATATTTTGAATTTTGTTTAATAGGTCTCCGAGCTTTAAAACAAGTTTAGTGTTTGAATATTTTGAATTTTGTTTAATAGGTCTCCGAGCTTTAAAACGTCTCTCCAATTTTGTGTTTTATAGTTTGTGTTTTATAGTTTGACTGCCTTTAAAAATATATAATAGGTTTATGAATTTTTAATCTTGTCTAATTAATACTTAATTTTGTGTCTAATAAGTTCTTTTAACTTATTTGATATTTTAAAAAAGTTAAAAAACTTATTGTATACACAACTTAAAATTGTATTTTTAAATTTTGTGTTTAATAAATTCTTGAATTAAAAAAATAGGTTTATCAAATATAAAATTAAATATTGAAAATAAAAAAACCTATTAGAACAAAATTGAAAATTTTAAAGACCTAATAAAATAAAATTGAAAGTTCTAAAATTTGTGGTTTTTAGATACTACAAATTTGAGAAATGAAGAATTAAACTTGTAATTTTATCAAATTTTTTTTAAAATTAAAAATTGAGGTTGAAATACTTTAATGTTGGGTTGGCTCATGGGTAAATTGCCTAATCTTATGGGTAACTATTTTTGACACTATAAGTTCTTTATTTTTATTTTCTCACATGTTTTAATAATCTAGTCGATCAAAAAGTCTGAATTATGTATTTTTAATAAAAAAGAAATTGTTATGTCAACTATCACGGTTAGGTAGAATTTAATTTATAAGCAACTGTCTTAAAAAAAAAATCTATCAAACCAATAAAAAAAATCTGGGCCAACTATAAAATTGCAATCAAAGTAATTAATTAAAATGAAACTAATTAAAGTATTTCAAAAATTGAACTGATCATAATAATTGGTCATACATATCCCTAGGTAGGTATGTTTAATAATTGTTTTTAAATCATGTTGATGTTTTTTTTTTCTATAGAAAGAAATATCACATGGTGTTTCACACTGTACTTGCACATTTGTTTATATATTTTTAGGACAGCATCAGCATTCTCTATGTTAATTTTTTTATTTGTGTATTAAAATTTCATATTAAAATATTATCATATGGTGTCACAGCATTTGTTTATATTTGCTTATTAAACATTCTTGAGATTTTTTTTTTAAATTTCAGTGTTTTTTTTTTTGGGGGATGGGGATTTTTAATTTCAGTGTTAATTGGTAAATTTGTGTATTTTCTATTGTATATATTATGATATGGGCAAGACTCTCAACCATGTTATTTAGGGGTAGTTGGGATAAGTTTTTTCAACAGGTGGTTTCATAATCAATTTAATTTTATGTTTTCTATCTCTTAAAAATGTTTTAAAAATTCTTTGTAAATTTCAAAAACAAAAAAAATGTAGGTTTTGAAAATAGATTTATATTTTTTAAAATCTCTTTTTTTTTTCCTTCTGATGCTAAATTTTTATTTCCTTTTTAACATATTTCTGATAAATTTCTTTTTCATTCTAAAACTTTTTTTCCACCTAAATTTTTGAAGAAAAATTTATCTTCCTCCCTCTAAAATTTGAATATTTATTATTATTTATGACACGACCCGCCCTAAACACCTACTAACTATAGGACAAGTCGTGCCGACCACAGACCCCCAACCATCTACCAAGTCTATAGTCAAATTCTTTC